ACCCCCCCGGCCTTCAAATAACTCAGCCATAACGATCGCTGTTAAATTGCGATCGGGATAGCCTATCAGCGGGGATCGGCACGATCGTGGAGGCGATTGAAAGGTGAGGGGGTAGGGGGATGGATCTGCACAGACGGGGCCGGGCTGACAGTTGGCAGGACGCTAACTCACTGGGGATGGACTCAAAGTGGTGCTCCACCGGCCACGCGAAACGGTAAAAAGGCGGTTTACTAACACTTGAAAGTGGCGGGGGTGGATGCTTTTGGCGTTCACCTCGGCACAGATACTGCCGGATACTGCACACATTTCCTCTGCTGTCGCACTTCTTCGCCGCTAACGGAGGAGGTGTTTGGACGAGCCCTTGTAAGACTGATGCCCTTTGAATGCCACACCTTCTCGGCGTACACAGTCTCAAGAGTGGCAAGCGCACATAGCACTCGCAGTCTTTGAGGCCTGAAACTCATCCCACCCTGGCGATATCCTCGCAGCGCGGTCATGGCCTGCCGCCGGTGACGTAGGCCTCGAGCAGGGCGGCGATGGTGGACACCGGGGTGCGCCGGCCGGCGCGCCGCTCGCACTGCTCGATGTGGTGGCGGCAGCCGTCGCCGCCCTCGGCGCGTCCCCGCTGCGCTGCCTCCAGGATCTCGCGGATCTCGTTCTCGGACTGGCCGCACACCCACCGCACCACCGTGCTGCAGGGAGGGGGCAGAGAGGGGCAGGTTAGTGGAGCAGTAGCACATCATCACGTACCCGTCGCACGGTGCTCTACTGAAGCTAGGGCTGCATCTGCTTGCTTATTGACGTAAGTCTGATTGGCTCATCCGAGTAGTTGGACTGTCCCGCATGCACGCGTGCGTGCGGGTTGCCCACTCGCTCGGGCCGTAAGGCCCCATGATCAGAGACAACAGACAAGAAGTGTGTGTGCTTTCTACACGTAGTGTTGTGCTTGTCCGAGGACGGTACTCACCTCACTGTCGTAGCCACCCTCTCCCCGATGGCGCCCCCGATGCTGCCCAGGCGGTGGGCCTCGCACACCACCAGGTCGCAGCACATGGCCGCCCGCAGCCCCTCGCGCAGCCCCTGGCCCAGGCCGGCGCCGAGCGCCGCCCCCAGGCTGGAGCCCAGCAGCCCTCCCCCCAGTGGGCCGCCCCCAGGGCCGCCCCCCGGCTGCACCATCCGCAGCAGCGGTGCCGCCAGCATGCTGAAGACGCCCCTGAAGTTGGAGGCGAGCGGCACGAAGGTGATGCTGGGCCGCAGCATGGCCACGGGGACGGCGACGGGGACGTTCGCCACGGGTACGGTGGCCGTCTCGATGCGCTCCGTTGTGGCTCGCAGCTCGTACTCCTCCTGCTTGTTGGCGACGACCTCGGACGACCTCGTGACGCTCGCGTCCTCGTCGCCGCCCTCTGCCGACGAGACGCTCCCGTCCTCGTACTCGCCGTCCGCCTCCGTGCTGCTGGAGCTGGTGCTGACCCTCACCATGGCCGGCCCCTCCACGCGACTGCCCTGGGGTCGCGGGGGCGTCGGCGTGATGGACACGACCGGCTCGTGCAGAGAGTCATCGTCCTCCTCGTCCTGGACGACGGACAGCGGGGAGGAGGAGGTGGTGATGCGTGGTGACAGCCCCACCTCCACCGCGGGGGCGCCGGGCGCCGCCTCTGGTGCCTGACCCTTGCGCGCTGGCTGCGGCCTGAAGCGCTGCTTGCTGCTGGACACGGACACTATCTCCCAGCCCTCCTCGCTGTGCTTGGCGTGCTGCTGCTGCTGCTGCTGGACGCGCTGTAGGTGCCGAGCCTGCTCCTCGACCGGAACACTGCGCTTGGCCCGCGCGGCTTGCATGGGCTGCATGGGCGCGGGCATGGGCATGGGCATCGGCATGGGCATGGGGGTCTCGATGGGCACGGCCACCATGGTCGGCACCTCCTCCCGCCGCGCGCTGTTGGCCACCACGATGGTGGGCTGGTTGTTGTCCTGCATGTCCTGCAGGCAGCTCTGATGCACAACACATCCAGGTTAATGTGACGTGAACACTCGGCGTTGTAGCGGCGCGACAGAAGTCAATCCTTACCTGTAGGATGTGGAGAAAAAAGAGGAAAGCCAACAAGGTGAGAGCCGAGAGCGCGGCGCTGTCCCCTTTCTTGCCTCCTTTCCACCTGCCACACACAATGCAGTGAAGTTTTATTGTCCCACTATGCGTCCTACTGGGGCTGCGCGTCGTGGCCGCACGCCTGCCCCAGCGCACGCCCCCGGCCCCTAGCTGACGTACCCGTCCGAGTGGATCCAGATGTCACCGCGGTGCTGCGCGTTGTTGAAGGACGGAGTCCGGTGGCCTAGACTCGCCGTAGGGGAGATGGTGGTCGTCGTCACCCCGCGAAAACCGAGAATCGACGATATGGTCATGATCGCTGGAAAAGGTCCAAGACATTGTCATGATCACTGGCAGTCATGGTACGGTGGGTGAACCGAAGACTTCTTTGCATGCGCTCCAGTGTTGCGGGATTGCATACACGGTAAAAACAATGTCTCATTTTTTTTAGGGGATAGGGAAAACTTTGATGAACTCCCATGTTTGAGGAAGAGTCCTCCAATCGCCTCAGGTTTTGAGGAATCTTCTAAAATAAATGAGGAAATATCCCACATTTTTTAGAGGACTTCCGCGAAATCTGAGGAGTTTTCGTTAAACCAGGGAAATTCCTCAAAGTTTTCCCTTTTCCCTCAAAAAAATTAGACATTGTTTTTACCGTGTACTACGCTCAGGTCACAGGGTCCAAAGCACCTCACGGAACGAACGAGTACTTTGTAAATCCGGGTTGTGGCACGACCCAGGTTTTTGTGCTACCTAAGTCGCACTTTTGCAGGACACCTTGGACCTTGGGTTTTGGCACCCTTTTCCTGCAGCGGGACCCAGGCAAGGGGAGCGCCTTACCCGGATGATTGGTACCGGTTGTCCAGGCTAACGGCGTATGGACGTTAGCGGACATGGCCTGGGCCCGAGGGTCAGGATGGACGTTAGCGGACATGCGGTACCTCGACGGCCGGTTCGGGGAACCGACGGAGGGCTAATCCCAGCGGGGACCGCCAAGTGTGTCGTTTGCGGACATGCGGCGGCCTACCTAGGGACCGTCAGGCGCCACTACACTCGGGCTGAGGGCAAAGACGACCGGCTGGTATCAGAGTATATATTCAGCACTTGAACTAAACATTAACGTGTCAGCAGCTAGTACTGTCTGACCGTGTCTGACGGAGGAGCGAGATCCAGCAACGGCAATCGGGCAATAGACACTTTCTTCCAGGCAAATCGTCGTTTGCGGCAGTAATCAATTCCTGAAGTCAGTTGGGCGTCACTCCATGCCAAAGCGTTGCGCGAAGCGATAGCGAAGCGCAACGCTGCACTGATAATACCATTACTGATTTCCTGTATTCAGTTAGGTTTGTTAGTTTTGGTTGGCCTTCTATTATTTCTAAGAGACACTTAGCTGAACAGATGATTATCTCAGAATATCTTTACTGGTTTTCTGTATTGAGTTAGGTTTGCTAGTTTTGGTTTGCCTCTTCTCGGTCGCCGCCCGTTGCCGCCGGCCGCCGGCCGCCGCCGCATGTCCGCAAACGACACACTGGGCGGCCCCCACTGGGATAAGCCGTCCACCGGTACCCCGAACCGACCGTCCAGGTACCGCATGTCCGCTAACGTCCATCCCGACCCTCGGCGTCCAGGTCATGTCCGCTATCGACACAACGCCAGGCTAACACATGCCAGTACGTTGGGTTGCCTATGCACTGGCTGCAGGGGCTGAAGGCGCGGGGTGCGTGACGGGGAGGTGGCAGCTCCCCAACCACTCCTCCTTCACCCGCCCGCGCCTGCAGCCAGTGCAGAGGCAACCCAACGTTAAGTCAGGTGTTAGCCTGGACACTCGGTATATGCGAGCGTTCGTGCGGAGCGAGATGCGAGGTGAAGGTGCGGGTGGAAAATTAGATGCGATGAAGCGCGTGATGCGATGCTAGCCGTATGCGGTCACGCGCAATATAGTACGCATGCACGGCAGGGAAGATGTTGCCTGCCCTCTGGGCTGGGCGCTATGAGACCTTGCATCCCTTGCATTGGCTGAACTTGGCTGTTTTGTGACGGCCGCCTTGATGGTAGGCAATAACCTGCCTGCCGTGCACCTGTGTACTGCGGGGTGGCCTACCCAGAGCCTCGCAGGCGCCGAGCCCTTGTGTACTTTGCCGAATGCATCAGATAAATGCGGACGTACTCCGACGTATACTATTTGGGGGTTCCATGACAGAAAAAGGAACGCATCACATGTCGCACTTCATCGCAAAACCGTACCACACATCGCGCATTACGCATAAAGCACCGCGAAAACGCTAACTGGATTTCCTCTGATCACTTCGTGATCATGCCGCAACGTAAGGTGTTAAGTCAAACTTTGACGTAAAGGTTTGGTACACCGGTTGGGTGGTAGGTTCGGTACGGAGCATAAAATCCGATAGATCATGATGTACATCCGTCACGAAGTCATTGCCAGTTACTTTCCGGCTGGAAGTAGAAATGAACAACAATTCTTCCCCACCGGGGCAATAATGTCGGGCAGCCTTTCTTGGCAACAGGGGTGCGTACTTGCACTACTTGACCACCACGACCATCACCGCACGCCCTGGAACACCCACCCCGCCGACCAGCGCAGCTGCGCAGCACGCCGGCCCCGCCTGGTAGACCCGAGGGGTGAGGGCGCTCGCACGCGAATGTCGAATAGTGCTTTGTGATTGTGATACCATGCGGATGATTCAGTTGAAACAAAATAATTCATATTAATGATCTGTCGAATATTTGAGCAATTTCTATCGGAAACTTGTTTGAATCACCCGAACACGCTGAGTAGGCGGCTAACATCCTTCCTTTCCCGTTGCAGCCCGCAGGCCCTCTTGCCCGCCGGCGTGCGGACAGAGCATGTCGGCGGGGGCGGTTCCAGGGACGGTGCCGGAGGAGGAGGAGGAGGAGGACGCGGAGGCCGAGGTGGGGGAGGGGCGACCCGGCCGGCCCGCAGTCACCCGTTTCAAGGACGGGGACCGCTATGACATGTGCACCATCTGCCTGGACCACTTCCGCGCTGGCGAGCCCGTGAGCGTCCTGCCCTGTGCGCACGGTGCGTGAAGGCGGAGGAGGGTCTTGTGGGAGGTGCACCGCGTTGTCCGCGGGGCAGCACCGTGATGTGACGGTGACCCGCAGCTTTCCACAACGACTGCATCGGCGCGTGGCTCAGCGGCTACCGGCGCGCCTGCCCGCTGTGCCAGCTGTGGGTGCGCCCCGCGCGCAGCCCCCTGCAGCTGTGGCGCCGGGCGCAGCGGCGGCGGCGGCGCAGGGCGGCCCGCAGGGAGGCGGAGAGGGCGGCGCGCCGGGAGGACCGCAGGCGACGGCGGGGGCGCGAGCAGGAGGACGAGGATGTCGGCCCCGGGGAGCGCGACCAACGCCGTCGGCGTGGCCACGAGCACTACCGCCGCGAGCTGGAGCACGAGGTGCATCACCACCACCGCGGCCGACGCGATCGCCTCCAGCACAACCACCACCACCACCGCCACCAGCAGCACGATCAGCCGTGGGTCCGCCTCATGACCATAGTGAATCGCTCTTCCTCGTCGGAACGCGAACTTTGACTTCAATCCACAAAATACACGCATTTTCGCTCAAAACGTCTGCACAAGGGACTGTGACTTTGAGCTGCGGGACCCTGTTGCTCACTGCTCACCGTGCGGCTGCTCGCCTTGCTTGCGGGGCGCTCAGGGAGGCTACATGACGCACTGCACCGCCACGCGCACGCTCCTCCGCTGGGCTCCAGGGACAAGGGCACGACCGTGGGCGACGCGGCCGAGGACTCGACTGCGGGGGCCGTGTCACGCACGGCCGTGCAGCACGGGACCGCGCAGCGTGCGCAGCCACCGTGCCGACCCCGCCCCGCCCCGCCCCGCCGCTCCACGGAATCTGGGTTCATCTTCTTCCCCATCTCCGCCATCTCCATACGTATATGATGATAAGTCTGTGCAGAGCTTGGTCTCGAGGGCCTGGCCGGCCTGGCGCCCGAGCCCGAGTGTCTCCCGGGGCGTTAGGTCATGCTGCGTCACTTGTCGGCGCCGCCTCTCCTACACCTGTCGGCGCCGCGCCACGAGATATGCGAGATAATGTGACGATTGGAAAGCGTTCTTGGGTTGATCAGAAGCAGCGCGGTCGGTTGCGAGAGGCTGATAACAGTCCGGACCGTTGTCCGTTCTCTGCCAACGCTAATGCTCAGTCCCCCCCCCCCTCCTCCCCGCGCGCCTCGACGCCCCGAGAACCGTAAGAGCGCACCGCGCCGTATAAGAGCCCACGGGCCACGGGATGGGGTGTCGCGGCCCACAGCCTCTGTCGCCACACACTCGGCGTTTTCAGCCTTTTCACTTCCACGGCAGGAAGAGGGTCAGCCAATGGTTATAAGAAAGTAAAACATTTTCATTAAAAAAAAAAATATTCTTTATTATTAATTTGATTCCCCCATAAAAAAAAGAAACAATAACTGACTCTGAAATTACAGTCTGGTAAAAACCTTTCCTCAAAAACAAGAACTACTTCTGATCATAATTAACCAGCCAATTGAAAGAAGAGAAAGTTGTATGATGATGCTTTCTTATCTAAACAACACACATAACTAAAGACTTCACTAATTTAAAACATCTTAGCATAAGACAAGGCATTTTCTAAGACAAGGAATGCATCACAGATAGGGCGAGAGAAAATAATTATTGTGGTTCACATAAACATGTGCTGACAATCAATTTACTCTTGCATTTCCAACACTTAAATAAAGTGACACACAAATCACAATATCTTCAGAACTGTGACAAACAAGTGAAATAAATTAATGCTTACTCTCTCGGAAGCAATCAAAACATGAAAAGAATATTTACAGTTCTATGCGTAAAAGGCAGTGGTTGATCATTTTGAAGAAAATATGTACTTCTTTCTTTTAACATTCATTATGGTATTCTCTAGTATCTGTCTGTCATTACAGTTGCAATGCAGTATAAAAACCTTCACATTGAATTCAATAACAAAATTACTAGGTAGAGAGAAAAATTCAAACAAATAAAAGTATAAATACTGATATCAAAGCTAAAAACGCTATGCATTTGATAGAGGGATGAAGTAGGTCAAAACAGAAAGATAATCCTAAATGCAGGCGTTAACAGATACAACCACTAAAGAATAAAAAAAGTAGGAGAAAAAACTGTCCCTAGATCACAAGAGTTTTCAGAAAGGCAACAATTTAAAACAAATCAGCACTAAAAGCCTTACAATTGAAACACACAGTCATAAAAATACAGCATCTCATCAAACTTAATATTTAACATAAGGTCACCCTGTTGAACATTTAGAACAAACATCTAGATAAAAAAAAATAAAACACTCAATGCGTTTTAAAGGTTTACGGTATATTTTATAAATATCCCACAAAGAGTTTATCACATAGTAAAACTTGAGTTGTTCAGTTTTCATTCATGACTGCCTTTGGAGCTAAAAAGCTTATGTATATTCTTTTGTCATCGAGTAAACCCAAACCAAGGGATTTATTTCTGAGTTAAAACTGTGTTAGACAGTATTTTTAATACTAAAATGGATAATTTTGAACAAACCAGTGCACTTATTTAAACACCATTTTGAAGAATATGGAATGCTGCTCCCAAAGCCCAGCTCAGTTCATGGTTGTCAATCTTCTTGTAAAGCTGAAAAAAAATAAAAAAAATTCTTCATATATCACACACAAGACGTAGTCAGAATAGACACATAAAAAAATATCTTACATCAAGATAAGAATTCTCTTTCAGTCCAAACCCGTCATCAGTCAAGAGAGTATGAATGAAGAGCATATCAAGGCACATGAAGGGCTGATCAGCATTGGGATTACGACAACCTGGATAAGAAAACATCAAATGCAGAGGTGAGACTTAAGAGTAACGTCTTATAACACAAAAAGACCTTGTTGACACCATTTAGCACTTACTGTAAGTGGCCGCTTCTTTGAATGATTTGACTTGGACACGTCCACCTTCAAATGGGTCTGTAAGACAAACAAATAGACAGGCATTAAAACATGCCGAAATAGCAAAGTATCAAGAATACATAGAATCAAGATTAACCAACCAATAAGACCAAATTCAGTAGCTCTATCAAAAAAGTATGAAATAGTATTTATTTTTGAATGATGTTTAAGTTCTTCTGGCTTGTCAATCTTTCCCTTGATGTATGAGCGGACAAGGTCTTGACACACTGATTCTTTAATGTGTGACATTCCTTCTGCATTATCAAGCCCTCTGGAAAGAAACACACACAAAAAGCCAAAATTAGAATGGGATACTTCTCTGAGGAAAACCAGAAATATTATATACACATACTGGACTGTGTAAGTAACTCTGTTGTATGTCCAAGGTTTCTTCATAATCGGGTGCATGCAGGCGCTTTTCAATGTAGTTGATCCTTCTTTATTGCCAACTGATAATATTGCCATTCTTGCAGCCATCAAGCCCATACCCAAGTAACTGTGAGTGTAAACCGTTAGATTTTGGTGGAATGCAGTCACTGGATGAAGAAAGTTTTTGCTTGTTTGCCACAGAGGAGAGGAAGCTTCAGCGGCAAATGTTATTTGAGTTGAACCACCACCCATATCAATAGCGGCAGCAGTATCCTTAACACTCCCACCAAGGCTGTCTAAACAAAACAAACAAGAAGGTAGATTGATATATGAATATTCATGGACTAATACAAAGGTAATACAAGATAATTCTTACTTGAAAGGAAGTTAATAGTAAACCAAGAAAAGATTCCTTCATCAACTCCTTCCATAATGGATACTGAGTTTTCATTGGTGAAAAATGGGAGGTCAGATAAAACTGACCTGACCTGCAAACAGGTACACAAATAGGTTTAACAGAAATGATCAAAATTTGCAATGTAGAGTGAAATGACAAAAGGTCTCTTACTTCATCAAGAATTGCATTAGCCTGCTTTTCTGGCAAAAGCCTCAAACCTGCAGTAGCTTTTAAAGCCAGGGGTGTGTTTGCCCACTCTGAAGGTGGGATGACATGTTGCAGCTTGGAATGAGAGAGAAGCTCAAGAATAGTGGCAGCACCCTGGAATAAAAACATGCAAGTACTTATTTAAAAAAGAAGATAAAATAGAAAAACAAGCTAGAAAGTAGTAGTTAAAAGCTACCTTCTTAGGATCATCGGCAAATGAAGAAAGGCCAGGTTTTATTTCAACAAATAAATCATTGCTCAATTCATAAGTGCCAGCTGGAATTTGCATGGAGAGCCCACATTATTAGACACTGAAAATACTTCAACGGCAGGATGGTCTTTAACATCTTTTAAATGAAGCAACTTACTTAATAATGACTTCTTAAAGTTAAAAGCATTAAGTCGAGTCCCAGTGCTCCCAGCATCTATTACAATTGCATAAACATGTTCTCCCATAGTATTGTAGGCATATCCTAAAATTTTAAAAACAGTGTTAAAAAATGCATGAGGATGTTTAAAGGTAGAAAGAAATGCCAGGTATTGTAATACGTACCAGCTAGGAAAGTAATAGTCACTAGAATTCCAGTGACTAGAATGCATTTCTTTTGAGACGTCATCTCAGAAGACCCAGCATTTCTCCTGCTTGAATTTGATCCAGAACCAAGGTTTGATTTTTCAGAGGTCGCCAACTGAGAAAAAATAATAAAAGAAAAAGTCAGTGTGTGTGACATTAAAATGACCTTTCCTTTGGTTGACTAGAATAGAAAAGCACCAAAGGTGAATAACAAACAAATGAAGAGGTTAGAGCACAAAATAGTTCCTGCAGAAAAAACACTAGGTAAATAGAACCAGAACAAAAGAACGGGTTTTGAAATATTTTTTTGGAAGAAAATTAATAATGAGATTAAATAAAATTTACCCTCTGATAGTTGACCATTTTTCTCTTAGTCATCTGGTACAGATTCTATGAATGGGAAGCAATCCACTTATTTAGGAAAAAATAGTGTAAAAGGCAATGTATTCTGGCTAAATCTAGAGAATTTAAGTGTATGGAATATATCATCTCAAGCGATATTATTCAGAACTCTCACGTAAGATAGGGAAAAGGCACATTTCAGGCAGGTTAGAGAACATAAGTGTGTCTATCCTGTTTGGTTTCTCCGGAATGGGTAATGGGTGCGTGCGAATGGGACACAACGTGAACGTGATGAAAACAAACAGACGACGTTGCACTTTTGCCAACGTAGAAGATTTCACACGATTCTCGATTGAAACACAAAGTATAATAAAGAAGCAATGCCGCGATCAAATTTCGTCTACAAAAGTAACATGAGATTTCTTAAATGCATGAGAAACAGAGGTAAGTCCTCAAGTTATGTGTAGCGCCAGAAAATTTTGGCACCGGCACATCGTAGAATCTAAAGAGGATAATCTGTAGTGGCGCGCGCAGCGCGCGCGAACCGAGGGACCCCTTTCAATTGCAACGGCACGCCGAACGCTGACAACTTCTGACAGGATGAATGGAAAGCTCTATTACACAGATTTTGGGAACCGGGAAAGCAGCATATAATTTTAAACCTGATTATATGGCTGATTAACCCCGCTAGCAGGCGTGTGGGCGGGGTTCGCCTGTCGCAAGCCTGTTGTCGCTGACAAGGGCGCAGAGGGCTCCGAGCAAATAGGCAACCCGCTCACAACGCCTGGTTAGTACAGTCTAACTACAGAAGAGGATGGGGGGGGGGGGTCAAATTACACTTTTCAAATCAAATGGGTAATGTGATTATAGTATATTAAAAGCGAGGGAAGAGCAGGGAGCAGGGTGCAAGACACTGCTCGAGCCAAGAACTGTGAGCCGTACAACAAACAGGACCTCGCTCCCATCTAGAAGCCGCGGCGGTCGTGATAGTAAAAGATGAGTTTATTTGCCCCAAGCAATGTTTGGGATATGATAACTAGCCTACCAGCTAAAGAATGACGGAGCGGGGGCAAGGCATGCCACACACGGTCACATACGGTCGTCAGTGCCCTATTTTGGGGAAAACTGTCGGGAGTAGTCTTCTTTGGTGTTTGTCAGAATACAACTCCTAGATCTTGACTCATTTTGTGTCTATCCCCCCCCCCCTTTTCTAAAAAGGCCCTAATCCAAAGGCGTCGCCGTAGTCCGTCCACCCTTTAGCAGGTGAGTGTTGCGTTATCGCACACGAGGACAGGATTGGGATACAATATGTCACGGAAAGCAGAGACAGGCTCGGTGGTTACAGTCAATTAAACAAGGGGCGATTAGGGGCTTCCCAGGGAAAACATTTCTCTCACGAAGACCTCATTGTGACCACGTAGGTCATAAAGAGGTCACAATGAGGTCTTCGTAAAACCCACGTTTTCCTAGGGTTGCTGCCCTGCCCGACCGGATGGTTGTGTTGTGCCGGAGCGAGGGAATTCCTTCGTACCAACACCAAGAAAACTGTTGCCTACCAACTTGTCCCTGGGCTGCCTTACGATGGTTGCAACAAATTTTTATTTTTCTGTGTGGAATGGAATCTTTGGAGATGTTGGCCGCACTCTACAGATTGCTGGGTGCCGTGAGGTAGGTGGGGTGAGGCCGGAAGGGGGGATGGGGGGGGGGGCTGTGGCGGCCTTGAGGGCACCATCCGCGTGACGTCGGGCCGGGCCGCATCGTCACCAATGCGCCAAAGGCGCCAAACGGTAGCTCAAGTATCAAGCGTGAGCTCCGCTTGGCGCGGCGTGAATAAAGCATTCCGGTAAAGTTGAAATGCAGAAGAAGACAGGGACCAAGAAAACGGAAGTCACCACGTCGAAGCATAGCGATTTCCGTTCTCTTCTTCCCCGCATTCTTCTGCATTTCAGCTTTACCGGGATGCTTTATCGTGGGCGCCGTTCCTCACCGCTCCCTTCCCCTCGCCCTGCTGCTCACGCTTGCAGAAGCGTACGCATGGGGAGCGTAGTTTAGAGAAATGCTTTAGTTGAATAGCTGCGGCGAGCCGCGGAAAGCTCTCAACCAATCAAAAGACGTTGACGTTCTTGCCGCCATTTTTCTTCTTATAGTATACCTGGAGTAGACTACTAGAATTATAGCTCAAGACCTTCCATAGAAAAGTTGAATGCAGAGTGGTGCCGGCTAAAGCCCCGTGTGGGTAGGCAACTCAACGCACACGGCTGCACGGTTGAGCTCGAACCTCTTGGGCGCCAGGGCCTAACGCGTGCGTCCTCGCATAGCCCCTCTCCCTACAGGGCCTCTACAGAACCCAGAGGACATGGTTTGGTCAAAACACGGTCAAGTGATGTCAGTGACAAGATTTGGTCATTTAATTTGGTGGTCAGCTTTGATGTCCATTTGAAGCCAAAATGACAACAAGTTTTGACCCTGACATCACTCGGTATCATGTTGACAAAACCGGTATTCCGTGCACCCACGGGAGCAGCCTCTCCCGACATAACGACACTACAAACCGAGCCGTGTGAAGTGCTTTGACAACATGCTCGGGCATGCTTACCGGGCGTTTCCTGGTCTCGCCCATCTTGGCGCTGGCTGGCTGCTAGCACACGGCGCACACGGAGAGAACGAAGGTTGGGGTAACCTAAACAGTGGGATAATCCCCGAGGGGGGGCTGCCGAGAGGGGCGACTGCTACTGTTGGCCCGGCGAGCGCGGCGCGTGTGGCGTCAGCTCGCGTCAGCTGGCGTCAGCTGGCGTCAGCCGGTGGAAGGGAGATGCAGCCCGCGGGAACGCTGCCGAGATACTGACTGATGCTTAGTGCCTCATCACTTTGGGTCGGACTTGGACTATCATCGTGTAGAGCGGGAGGGGCCCGCGGCCACGCGGCCACAGCAGGAGGGGGAAGTGGGGGGTGACGTAACCCACGTAAGACTCCGTGTCACGGCCGCGGCACGAGAGCTCCCTCCCTGCTCCTTCAAACCGTGGGAGGAAACATGTAGACAACAGTCCGAACCAAATAGTCTATACATTGGCCATCACGCAAATGAACGATACGAAAATGAACTCTATTCAAAGCGTTCAGTGTTTACATCATTGATGGTCGGATGGTCGGGAGCAATCAACGGCGCCACACGCGCCATCTTGCTAAAGTTAGGTCTTCCCCGGTCTTCCCTCATGACGTAGAAAACTAACAATATTTTGTTTTCATCTGATCCTGACTAAAACGTTAAATCCAATGACAATTGCCCCATGAGATTTATTGCGAAAAATGAAATCGTAGTGGAGTGTAAATAGCCCGCTAGACTGCAAATAGTATCTCTGTCTGTGCGTGTAACTACTTCCGCTCTCCTGACCTCCCCCACCTAACCTAACTAACTTGACAGTAAACAAAGTCTGCTAGCTTTCACAATGAGATATGTTTTGGTTATATATATTGAAACAACTTGCTGAAATTAGAACTATTTATTTTATTCTTTACGGAAAGTATGGACTCTTTTTTGGTTAGTCATTCATGACCAATGATGATACCCAATTTTAGAATACTCAAAAACTGCTATGTTGTTTAGATCTGGAGGGTATCAATAACTTAATTTAGTTTTGTGTTAATATTAAAAGGTTTGTTCTTACATTTCCTCCAGTCATACGATTTTGTATTTCCTCATGTTTTGTTTCAAACTGTACCATCATTATTTACTTTTCCAGTCAGCCCCTGCAATGGAGGGGACTGTAGCCGATGAACAAAAGAAGGATTTGTCAGGAAAAGATAACTCTAATTGGGAGTCGGAGGCATGTGGTCTCATTTATAAAGGAGGCGACTGTTGCTTAAATAGCTGTGTGTTTACTTCGGATCATTATCACTGTCAAGGTTGTGGAATAGGGACAGCTGAGGTATGTTTTACAAAGCTTGATAATTTTATTTTTTCAATGAAATCCTATTTTTAATGTGATATTTTGAATGATTCAGGTCTCACAAGCACTTGCACATGTTCGAACTTCACAAGGATGCCGCAAGGATTCACTTGTTCACTATTCTGCATCTCCAGTTGGAATGGCTACAGATCCCACAAATTCATTGTACAATGCAATCTATAATGGGTTCACATCCCAAAACTCCTATTCAGCTCCAAGCTTCAGTAGCTTCGGTCAAATGGATTCATTTCAGTGGCATCCCACAATGTCCGACAAGGTTGCAATTTGTAGTACACAATTGAGTCCTTGCTGCAGTTCTAATGGTGGGACTTACATACCCGTTGAGAGTCAACTTTGCTCTCCCATCAGTGACTTGTACTCAAAGGTAACTGCCCCAATAAGAGACCTTGTGAGTTTGCCTGCAAAAAGTTCTGGATCAGCCATAGATCAGCCATGGTTTGCAGCCTACAATCCTCAACAAATTCCAAAAAATGGTTTTAAGTTTTCTGATCAGAACCCTCCACCTCAAATTAGTTTTATACTGTTGGATCCATCTGATCAAAAACACCAAGAAATTGGAGAAACAAGTACCAATATGCCAACTAATTTCTGCTCAAAGTCAGACATTAGTGGGAAGGATATCCATAAAGAGTCGTACTGTGCATACACTTCACAACCTTTACCTGGGATGTTGTCAGAAGATGCACTTTTCTCTCTTCAACTTCAAGACGAAACTTTAAAACAGGCTGATCTCCAACAACAATCTGTATCTCAAATTCTTCTTAGTGATGTCAATCTGCCAGGCAAAAATATTCCACCAGTTGAAAATATGGCCACTACTTCTAGAGTGGACACTCACTTCACTCAAGAACACTTTGGTCAATACATGTCAAGCTGTAGTGCTTACTCATCTCAAATTCAAGATGACAATAATCTGGAGAATCAACCATCATCAGCAGCTAGTGATAGCGATGAAAGTGATATCATTGTTGAGGATACAGGAGATGATCTTGGGTCCCAAATGACAGAGAGTGAGGTATACACATAATTTTAACTTTCTGACATTAAAATTTCTCTGTCTTTCTATTTTAAATTTTAAGTCTTTGGTACAATATTTCAGATATTTATTGAAGATATAAAATGTTCCCTTTTACAAGGTGTTGAAGATGAAAATTCCTCAATGAGAAATTCTGATGTTTTAAGAGATAAAAGTGGTGTTGTTCATCCAAGGCAAGATATTAAATCTTGTGGAACATTGCAAGAAACAAAAATGCAAGCTGAGTCCCAAATTAAAAGCTGTATGTCATCCTATCATACTTTATTGAAATGTGTTGTGTGTGAAAAAAGTGTCTCGGATGGCAATCCCGGCAGTGTTTTGGTTCAGATGAATAACCAAATGCCTCTAACAACAAGTTCTCACACTCCAGTTCTAACTAAACTTAATGAGGTATTTTTGTTTTACTCTTTTTTTTACGTTTTTAGAAAAAATCTGTTGCACTTTTGTTTTTTTCTTCAATTAATTGGTGTGGTTTGCTTTGGATTCTGTTTTATTGACAAGGTGTCTTATATCTTGCAGGTTGTAGCTATAGAAGTTACAGATTTTCTGGATGTCAATGGAAAGTTTATGTGTCAGAGCTGTTTTAAGCTGGTTGACACAGTTGATAGTCTGGAAAGCAAGCTGGAATCTCTGAAACAAGACATAGCAGCACTGATCAAAACTGGTTCAAAGCCACTTATTATAAGACACAACCCGTGTGCCAAACTGGCTGTTGATTTGTTGGAACCAAATCAGTCAACTATTATGAATGTTTCTTCCAAAGTAAAGGGCTCTTCTAATTCTGGTGTTCATGAACTCCTTCAAGACTCAATAATTGAAACTTCTAGTGCTGAGAAATCTGTGAGGAATACAGAGCATGGATTGGTGAGTATTTCTTCATTGCTCTCTCCTCTTGTAACAATAACGGACAATATTTTTCAAAAACTATCTTAATTTCCAGGGAAATAATGTGGAGCAAAGAGATTATCTGCTTCTCTCTGGTAGGGCCCTATCATTAGCTAACAGTATTGACAAAGTAAGCCTATCCTTGGGCCAGCACCATCCAGTAGAACTTGTTGTGCAAGGAGAACCGTGTGTTGCACAGCCACCTATTCATGTTACGGAATGTAATGTTCCTAAAATTTCAGACGTGTCTCCCAGTCATTATCAAATAAATTCAGTTGATTCTATCTTAAAAGAAAGAGAGACAATTAGTTCGCACGTTGGTAACTATATTGCTAGTCATGGTAACCAAGAGACAGTTCTATCATGTACAGAAAATAGGAAACAAATTTACCATCTGGCACCATGTGAAAAAACAGGCATAAAATTGTCTAAGATAAGAAGATCAGAAAATCCAAACATGGCAGAACTAAGGGCACCTCACAGCTCTGAATGCACTATGGAAAATTGTCATGAAATTTTGCGATTAGAACAAAAATTGCAAGAAAATCCCCAAAAGATCTTAAATACATTTGAGAAGTATGCTTGCAATTTATGTTGTGAAACTTTTGCTTCGAATGACCTGCTTGGAAACCACCAAGCTAAATTTCCTGAAACAGATCCTTCTTTGTGTGAGGTACAGTATATAACTGAGAAGATGATAAATTTTATTTTGTTGTGTAAATGTTGTGATGATGTATTTAAAATTAAAATGATTCCAGGTTTGTGGGCAACTGTTTCACAACCAAATACAATTGGACGATCACCTGTTTAAAATTCATTATATTTATCAAAAGCATTGTGAATTATGTGGGGTGAAAGTTCATCATCCATGTATGTATGAAGTCCATATGAGGGACCATCCTGATGGGAAGGTGATTCTGTCTTCGACAAATGCTGACACATTTTCTGTTGGAGTCACCTTACCAACATCCTCTGGATTTATGGAAAAGAATTTTGCTAAGTGTGATAGGTCAGTATTTATTTTTATTTTTTAACCATTTCCTAATATATGTTACAGGTAAACATTGCCTAGTTAATGCCCGGTTTCAGTCGTCCCAAACGGACATTTCCTACCAGGGCCAGGGAATCCGGATTCTCACTAGGGAATCTGGACATTCCCTGTCACCCGAACTTTACCTGTAACATATATAACAACTTTTCTTAGGTCAACCAGCATATTTAATAAATATTATCTATCTATCTGTCTGTCTTCAGTTGTGACCAGGCATTTTCATCTCTAAGTTATTTGGAAAATCACATCAAAACTAAACATGCACCAAAGAAAATGTTATCAAAATGTGATCAGTGCGACAGGAGCTATACTAAACCGAGTGACCTCCAGGCGCATAGAAGAAGTCATTCAAATGCAAAAAATTTTGAATGTAAAATATGTGGACGGCGCTACAAAAGTCTTGGTAACTTAAATCACCATGCTAAAACCCATGATGTCAAAAAGCCATACACTTGTGAAATTTGTTCCCAAGGATTTATTCGTAAAGGTAAGTAAAAGGAATTTACTTGTATCAGTTTACTATGGTATGGAATAATTAACTAATATCTATCTCATTACTTGTTTATAGACTTTTTTGAAACACATATAAATTCTCACAAAGATAACAAACCTTACAAATGTGAAAAATGTAACAAAGGGTTTTTGAGTAAATCTTACCTTCAAGTGCATTTGAAATGGCACCTTGATAAAATTAAGAAAGTTACATGTCCCATTTGTCATAAAACATATTCCCAGAGACTTAATGTGCACATGCGTAGTCATACTGGAGAAAGACCCCATCCATGCATCGAGTGTCCGAAGAGATTTATCACAGGAAGTGCTTTACGGAAGCATATGAAGAGAATTCATAAGGCAAATACACCTGAAGATGCGTGTTCTGGTTCAGAAGACTCCGACCCTGCTCCTTCTGATTCAGATGACCGAAAGTCGCCGCTTTCTTGTCCAGAATAGTCCATTATTTGTATCAACAATCTAATAAGTTGTTCTGTTCAAATCTATTATTGTTCCCATTCAAACCATTACCATTTTACAAATTTCAAATTTATGTAAGCAATCTGTGATATTACTATTATTCTATTAATTTTGACGTTGAGATAAAGTTTTGACAGTTTTAACAACTTTGCACATCTGATCCGTTTCTCCTCACCATCCTGCAATCAAGCCAAATCTACCCTGCAACGTAGAGAGATGGGTGGGCGCCCTTCTCTCATGCTGCCACCCAACAATCTACCCTGTGACAAAGGTGTCTGGCTCCCATACATCTGTTAGCCCGTTAGCCCCGCTACACCAAGCTCGCACAATAAGACCCCTGATAACGATAGATAAGATAGCCGATATGCCGACACACACACACACACACACACACTCACACTCTCTTCCACTCACACAGGTGGTCTGGTCTACCCGGGTCTACCCCTACCCGTTCACTCCCTGGTGATTATCCGTTTTGGCCACCCCCAGTACAAAGGCCGCACAGCCTGGATGACGAGGTTGGCGCCAAGCTGAGTAGGACGGCCAGCTCCAGCGAGGGGAGCGCGGCGCGGACGGCTCCCACGTCACGCCATGATCCCTCCCTCCCCGCCAACAGCCGCGTCGTCGCACTTGTTCCGAAGAGACGTCGTCGTCGGCGAATCGGCGGCCAGCCTCGCGAGCACCTGGGTGGCTATCTCTCGACTACACCGCGCCAGGACTGCCGCGGGCCTGCCAGGGCGACCACAGCGAGAGCTCGCGCGGGAGACAGCGCGCGCGCCTCGGCTTTAGCCTCGGCCAACAAGGCCCACCTCAAGCCCAACAAGCCCAATGTCGACGCCCGGCGGCGTCAGGCGGCAACCCCGGCGTCGGGACTCGGGGGAGGGCGGCGACCTCGACCGGCGGCACCCCTTCGAGAACGTGCAGCGCTTCAGCTCGCCGTCCCGGCCGCACAGGAACAACAGCGACGTGGACGACTTCAGGAAGCTCGGTCTCGCTACCGGCGCGTTCTGCATGGTAAGGAATGGCGTTCATGTCGCAGAGTTGGCGCGAGGGGGTGATATTAGGACATGTTGGCGTTATCTGCGGGTGCTCAGCAGCAGGGTAGGCCGCCAGCTCTACGCAGCTGCTGGGCGGGCTGGCCTACCCAGCGTGCTGCAGGCGCCATCAACAGTAGCCTAAAGCCGACGTACTTGCTCCAGAGTAGCTCACAGTCACAGCCTGTGAGCGACTAGGAAATCAGAAAAATGAGAAAGAGGCCTGACGAACGTTTCCGCGCATCGCTTTAGGGAAATGTTGATTGCGGGGGCGCCGTCAGACGTGCAACGAAGATTATAAAAATAAGATATGCTTCAATTGGCAGGCTGCACCGGCACCCGCCGTACAGTCTTTGACAGTCGTCATACATTCACGAAAGAGCCCGATGTTACTCATTGAGTAAGGCATCTCTCCTTCGGGCAGAATAAAAATTGTATGTGATAAGATAAACCCTCACCTTGTCACAACATTCGGACGGGGATGGGCCCTCAGCTGTGGATGAGTAACCGCAATAACCAATGATTTTTGAAAGATCGCAGAATGACGTATTTAGGCTGTTGCGTTGAGTGCTCCTTCAGATTAAACTGACACCGCTTGGTATTATGGCCATTGCTTTGCAAGATTATCCACAGGATTTAACACAACTGGTGTAGCTGTGTATTGTGTAATTTAGATTTCACTAATCATCCTTTTGGATAGTTAATTGTCGATATTAGAGGGAAGCAAGCACGTGTAAAGAATACTTTCTGTCTTCTGTTTAGATCCAAAGCTTACTTTGGGTCGCCATGAGTACCGCCGCGATACTGGTGTACCGAGACATCATCCCCACTGCAGAAATTCCACCCGTGAACTCCGCCGACCTCAACCCCAACCCCTGGGAGGATTTCGATACCATGCTGACGTACTTGTACTTCAAAGGTCAGTACCATTAACACGCAACTTTATAGTCGTGCTTTCGTCTGTACGTGTACACGAGCAGAGCAGGACGGGACGCCCAGGCGCCCAGCCGGTAGGCCACGCGCGACTCTGCGCACAGCTGTGTTGCGGGATGGCCTATCGTGCCTCCGACAGGCGCTCCGGCGGCGCTCCAGCGGCCCTGCGCTCTGTCGCACAGTCGCACCACGATGTCGTGGTCGCACTCGATTTAAGTATGTTCTGTGCATGTTGGCTCGACAGAGGGTGCTATCTTGAGGATGCCACAGGAAGGCCTGGTGACCCAGCACACCATGTACCTCATGATGTCCTCCATCTTCATTATCAACGCCTTCTGGTTCGTCACCTCCTCCGTCATGTTCGCGAGTAAGTCGCTGGCCGGTCCGAACTAGCCGAACTGCAGATGCCTTCCCTTAAATAATACGTGATGCCATCTGCAGGTGCCGTTTGCCCCTTAGCTCGCAGACTGGTGGTACCGGTACCAGGACACCTGCAGATGTCTCTTCTAGCTAACAGCCTCAACAGACTGATGACTCGTTCCAGAACTGCGCTCCGGTGGACCCCGCTCCTGGGTCTTATCCATACGGGTGTGGGCCTTCTCGACGGCGGTAGTGACCGTCATGGACGTGGTGCTGGGGTCTGCCATGGTCCGCGACTTGGTGGTGCTGCAGAACGACGACCCGGCCACGGTCACGACCAACGTCTTGTCCACCCGGATGAGCCATTGCGCCGCCTTGGTGCTCGTGGTGTCGCTGCGCGCCGGGCTGATCCTCGTCGCCAACGTGGGCCTCATGATCTCCTTGCTGTACCTGTGAGTGCGCACCCGGACTGGAGCTGCTCCTGGTTGAGCGCGACTAAATCTGACGTCTTGGTGCGTTTTCGTTGGACAGGTTATCCAATCGGCTAAATCCTCCTAGGGAGCAGGCATCGTTACCGTCCACGAGGGAGTCACCGTCTGCCACCAAGCGCGAGGGGCCCATAGACGCCTTCTTGTTCCCGAACAGCAGGTGAGACTATGTGCGCTGAGAATTAGTCTTCTCCTGTCAGTGTTTTCGACGTCGACCCGTTCCTTACCGCGGCCAGCCTTCGTTCCAGTGACGGCCACATGGGCACACGCAACCCCGCGTACGTACCGGACGACGTGGACGCCTTCTACAACCCGCCGCAGTCGAACAACTGGACCTCGTTCAAACCCCCTGCGGAGGAGGCTCGGCGCGCCCAGTGGCTGCCGGACCCAGTTGGCCCCGCCCCCGCACTGGGCCAGAAGAGGCTGAGAAGGGTGAGTGCTTCGGTCAGATGGTTGAGTGGTTGGTTGGTCGCTTCAGCAGGGTGGAGCTCGAGTGAGTGCGCGGTAGATGGACAAGGAATCTGACCGCTTAACCCCTGCTGTGGGCCTCGCAGATCACGCCGGAGGACATGGCGCACCTGTCGTGGATGGAGGAGCCTCAGAAGCACGTCGGGGTGGAGCTGCGTCGCCCGATGGGTTGGCCCAGCGCGCCGACCGAGCATCGTCACGCTCTGTTGGAGCCGGAGCAGCCCGCAAGACTGCCCAGTCCCGAGCTGCCCGACGGGCAACCCGACGGGCACACGGGGCTCGGCCCGGGCTTTGGTTTCAGCTACCTGCACGGCCCCGGGCACATGCTGCCCAGAGTGCGCGTCAATCCTGACGCCCCCAAGCTACCCTCCATCCCGCCGCCGGACTACTCACCTCCGGCGGCGCGCAGGGCGACAGGTAAGGGCTTCGGCCCCGCAGCCAGGCCCGACCGGTACTGAGCAGGGCCCGGGGATGCGAAATCCGACAGACTTATAGCGTGGATCTTGAGATACCTCCCTTGGTTTCCAATCTTCACAAGGACGATACTGACCCCGCTCTCACGCTCTGCTCTCCGCTTGTGTGCGCGCGTCGTGTGTACCCACCTGTTGGCTGAGTGAGAACCCCACACCTCGCGATCAGTCTCCTATATTGGAAGTCGATTGTTTGGGGCCGCACCCAAACCACGTGACGGGTTGTTGGCGGGTTTTGACCCCCCCTCCCCCCTGTGGTGGTCTCGGGACCCCTCCCCCCTCCATTTCAACGTGGTTTTCAGCATATGTTTTATTTGACGTATTTACGACATATAGAGCATTTTAACGAAAAGTGCATGTTTGCTGATGTTGAAAAAGTGAATTTGGTGGTGACTTTGTGACCAATCAGTGGCAGATTTCAGTGTTCAAGCAAGAAACGGATTTTTCTTTAATTTTTCAAAAATATGTTTTTTTAGCAGGTAATTAATAGTCGCGTGACTTGGCCAAAGACCCTCCCCCCTGGAGGTGGAGCGTGGTGTTTTCATCCCCCCTCCCCCCAAATTCGTCACGTGGTTTGGGTACGGCCCCTTGAGGGCTGTACATTTCTTTTGTATCTGTCTAAATTGTTGCAAGCTATCAATAAACAATGTCTTGCCCCTTTGTTTGTGAAAATATTGGCTTGAATTATTGTCAGAGAGTGTGTTTCAAGTGTGTTTAGCTTGGCACTTTAGTCTGAATCACTTGTGTGTAAAAAAATGACACGTTTATATGTGCCTAAGCAGGTGTGACCTTTGCGCTGTGAATACATGTTGAATTAATTTTGTGTTATTTTTCGACTTTGTGTCTGACACAATTATTGCAAATCCCTTATCATGAACGCCCCGCTGTGAGACCTTGTGTTGTGCCTATTTGCAAAATACCGGACACGCTTCGTGCACGCGGATGAGCGTGAGCATAAACAGAGTTATTGTCATGTGCACGCGTGGAATTCAAACGCTCGGCGGAACACTGGGGGTTGGGCAGGGTTGGGTTGATAGACGGGGGGACTGACACAAGAAGACTGGCCTTCAAAGTTCGTTTTGGAGGTTCACAAGCGGAATCAAAATTGTGTGTATGTGAACAAACAACGTACAGAGGATTGCCCTAGAAAGTACGTCTGTTTTTCTCAGAATGATTCCGCGAATAACCGAAGCCTGGTGCGAGACTCGGGGTAGGCCACTCCCCAGTACACGTATGCACTGCAGCCATTGTGTTGCCTACCTACCAGGCGCCACGAGTGCTTTCACTGGCTAATGGCAGTTTCTTATAACGGCAAATGATGGAGGTACATTCTGGATGATCTCTAAGAATAGATTAAAAGAAACAGTACACAACCCAGTGTAATGGTATTTCAATTCCTCAGTTCGTGAAATTAATTTTAGAGCTGGACTTAGCCATTTGGGGCGTGGTACGTTTTGAAAGTCATAGTTTTGGAATGCGAACGTATCTTGCAAGAATGACACACTTATGCATTCGAGCTCGAGCGCTTTTGCCCCCTGACCCTTTACGTTCCACAGCGTTCTTTGAATTTCCCGCGTGCATTTAGCATTTGTCTAGCGTGCGCATATAACATAGAGATGTGGGCATGCTGCTTTTTTTTAAATTAAACATATTATTCACACGCACCTTGTGCTCGCAAAATGTGACACGTGTAAATTAAACTAGATGTAGGGCTCCGACACATACACGAATAAAAAACCGCTCTACGTCCAGTAGTCCAGCGTGGGGCAAGACGCGGCCTGCGCCCTGCTGCGACAGCGCCCCTGCCGATACCCTTGGCACCCTTGGCACCTGTGCCCTGCGGGATGCCCTGCGGGATGCCCTGCGGGATGCCCTGCAGCCCCAGCGACAACGAACGCGGATCTACCGTTGACATTTACGAGGAGCTGCAGAACAGTGAATGCATCGATGCCCCCCAGCAGCCCACGGTCGAGGCGGCCGGGGCCACGGAGCCCTTCCCTGCGCCACCCAACGAGACTCCGACGGTCCTTGCTGTCGAGGTAGCTCGGGTAGTAGTTGAAGCGTCTGATGCCTTCAATGAAGTCCCAGGGGACACGAGAAAGGAGTTTGTTTTCAAATTCGATGAGCAGCCCGGTGAGGAGGACGCGTAAGGCAGAGCGCCCGGGTCCATCATCTTGCCCCGCTTTTCTGGACTTCCCCGCTATGACGCTGCAGCGTCTTTGATGGTGGATTGATGATAGAACCGAAAACTCTGTCGAGATTGCCTAACATGTAACTCTCGCCCTATGTATAAACAAATAATACGAATTGTATGGAGGTCTATTTTTTAAACGAACCCGTTTGGAGTGCAATTCCACATTACCTCAGTACCGCCAACAATCGACACTGTGCTGAAGGCCCCGCCCGCCGCCCCTTTGTTAAGCGAAATGAAGTAAATTTTTAGAATGTTACAGCCACCAAGCTTTCTGGTGGTCAACCGAACTTTCTGCGTTGCACACATATGCTGCTACCACACCGACAACATAGTTTCAATACAGGTCAGTGCCTTGGTCAGAGCGAACACCTCTATGTTCAGTGTTGCGGGTCGGCATACCATTTCATGCTGCAGGGGCCATGACGCAATATGGGCTGACAGCACAGGCTAACTTACAACACTGTCACATCCCGTACAACTGAAAATATTTACTTCTTTATTAACATTAGGATATATAATTTGGTTTTCATCATCAAAGGTTCGTTTCGCAGTTTACACGAAGTGTTAACGTTTTACTCGTTCTTTACCACCCATCCTCACCGCAGTACTGGACCGTTATCGGTCTTGATTCCAACAATGAACTCAGAGAACTCTCAACATGTTGCCGATTTACGTGCTAAGTCCCAAACCCAGCTAATTGGGGACATTTTAATCTCAGAAGTCACAACAGCTACAAACATAAAAGTAATACTATTCAAATAGGACCTTGCTGTCACTTTTAACAATGAACTTTTTTCAAGTTTAATATTATTTTTATTATTTTGAGAACTCTTGACAAAAATTTTGAGGGTTTTCAGTTTAAGTCCCCCGGCCACCGTCGTGCCACCGAGCCGACCGCCCTCTGCAACTGCAACTGCGCGCCGGCAAAGTAACCCCCCACCCTGGGATCTAGGCAACCCGCGCCCGGAGGGGCGTGCTGCCGCTCGGTTGCCATCAGAGCGCACCTTAACCCTAACCCTGCCGGGTGCTTCGTTGAAACAGCAGCAATAGCAATGTTGTTACACCTGTTGCCATTTGTTTATTTATGTTTACCCGTGATTATATTATTGTGCAGACGAAATGATTGAGACGAGAAAAATAACATCATTATTGTTTTAAAAATTATTGTTCGAAAAATTTAAAAAAATCGGAACCAATAAAGAAATCTCAGCATTTTAATTAGTCGTTATGTTTATTATGAAGGGTATTTCTAAACTTTGCAACCCACCTGGGCGCCTCGGGTCTTCACTCAAAGTAAGTCAATCTCCACGAGACTCCTTGGTTATAAAAATTTAATAATAAAAAATTGGGTATTACTTTACATTATTTCTTTCTGTATGTTAGTGCACCTCTCAGGCAAATGTTCCCGAAGAATCAAAACCGTTGAATTTTGTGAAATACCTGGAGTTAGACTCACAAGTTGAGGCTGGTGTTGGCAGTCGTTTGTATCATCCTAGAAACCATCCTGGAGTGATGCGGGGAAGAGTGGTTGAACCCCCTATAGATTTATTGCAGGCAATGGAGGTCACAGCAGAAGGCATGTTTAGTTTTATATTTGTATGTCTTCATTCATTACGCTCTATTAATTTTGATATATCTTGTTGATCTTTATGTTGTTTTTAGGTCGTAAGAAGTCTGATCTTAGTAAAGCTGCAGATGGATTAAAAAGGCAATTGTGGGGAAGGCACTTACCCCCAGAGAGAAGCGATTACATAGAGAAGATGAAAGTTGAGAGGATGAATACACTAGCTGCTGTATCAGGTAACTCTACTTTATTCATCTGATTATTTTAATTCACAAATAACATCAACTTTTAATCAAATTTTGCCATGTAATGTAGAATTAAGTCATGAAGTAGCTCCTGGCACTTATGATGATCTTGAGGAAAAGGTCGTTACAAGGCGTCTAAAAGATTTAATTCATCCCTGGCATCCAATGAGTGTGACCAAAGAAACTTGTCTTCAGTACCTTATTTCACGAACTCCAGCTGAGTATTGTATTCTTCATAAAATATTTTCCGAGATTCGTCTAAAGGATCCAACTTTTGATCCTACCACACTGTTTGATTTCGGATCAGGAGTTGCTTCTGGATATTGGTGAGTTCTCTACTTAATTAATAAAACATGCTATGAAAGGAAAATGCATGTATTATTGTACTGTGTCTTCTCTCAGGGCCACAAAAGAAGTCTGGCAGAAAGAGTTGAAGGAAGTCTACAATGTAGATTCAAATTTAGAGATGAATGAGCTGGCCTGCAACCTTCTGAAATTAGCTAAACAACAGTTCTCACCTGAAACTGGGGTATATTTTCGGCAGTATTTTCCTGTTTCAGTGGATGTACGTTTTTTTTTTTTGTTTCTACTTTTGTGGTATTACACATACATAATTTGAAAACATCATTCATATTGTATGATGCTGTTCTTTAATCCTATATAGCGCACTTATGACATAGTGTTAAGTGCTTTTACTCTCCTTGAGCTACCTTCCTTCAAAGATAGAATGGAAATAGTTGCTCAGCTATGGTCAAAAACTGAGAAGTACCTAGTCTTGATTGAGGATGGAAATAGTGCAGGTTATCAGGTGAGTTCAATAATTCGTTTTTAATTCATTGTTCTTCCCTCTGGCAGAACTGTTAGATCTAATTGTGTGTGCAGGCTATAATGGAAGCAAGAAATCTAGTAACTCACCTAGAAACACCAGATGCAGATGATCATATAGCTAAATTTCATGTTTTTTCCCCTGTAAGTAGCCAGCTACTAGCTGTGTTAATATTTTCAATTTTCTTTCAGTAAATTTTTGTTTGCAGTTATTAGAATTATGTTGGAATTGAAGTGTTTTTTTTGTATTTTTAGTGTCCTCATGATTTCTTGTGTCCCCGTTTCATCAAAGATAAAACTCCATGCAATTTTGAAATATCATACTTGACACCTAAATTCCTTGAGGGGAAACAGCACCAAAAGAAACATCTTTACTCATATGTTGTCTTAAAGAAGGGTATGTAATGAGGATTATCTATATATTGTTCCATCCTTGCCTCTCTTTTGTAGAGGTGATATTGTAATTACAGCTCAATTACTCTGTTATATACAGCCCCAAGGCCAAGCTCAGATCCTCAGTGGCCACGCTGTGTAAGGGAGACACTTCTGCGTAGCAAATCAGTACACCTTAAACTTTGCAAGTCAAATGGGACATTAGAAGATGTCATCTTACGGAAAGAGAACAACAATAGGTATGATTATGTTGATGGGGTTGGTCAGATTATGGAACAAAAACTATTTCAGTAAATCACACTAAAACTACATACTATCATCACTTTCTTGTTTTTCTTTTCTTCAGAAATGCTTATAGGTGTGCCAAAAGAACCAAATGGGGAGATTGTCTCCCAGGAGAAGTAGGGGAGAAGGAGAAAGGAACTTAGATTTATGAATCTATGATTAAGCAGAAAAACAGAAGGAAAAATGTAATATTTTCTGGAAACATTTAATAAATCTATAATATCTACATCATAATAAAGATTACTTCTCTATTTTTAAGTTTACCTGTCAAATTTTAGATTGGTAGACTATCATCCAAACCCTGCAGCACTACAATATTGTTAATGCACAGTAATTGAAGCTATTATGCAGCTACAGTAAAGGAAGTCCTAATACAGTTGCATCCAAATACAGTATGAAAAGTACTGGAGTCCTAGTCTTATGTTGTTCAAATCCAAGAAATTAATTTATTTTTACAATGACCTACACACCAAAAACAAAGATGCCTGGGCAGAAAAGATATACAAAAAAAAAAAAAGTTTCAATACTGGTTTTAAAAAAGTGCTTTAAAATATAAGTAAAGTACAACGAATCTTGAAAATGAACTTTAGCCAACATCCAAAAGAAAATTATCATTCTGCACCATAATTTAACCCATAATTTAATTTTGTCCAGAAATGAATCAAATAGTATTTCATAGAATGCAGAGTTATCGTATCAAAATGCGAAGTGGGCTGCATACTTTCCAGCATAAATCTGCTTGTAAAAGTTCTTATGGTTACACATGAATGTGATGGAGGACAAAACAGAAAAATAGAATTAGTTTGAAGAATTTATAAATGATATAAAGAGCACATTTTACCTCTTTCTTAACAGAATCAGGTACATCCTTTCATATAAAAGCACACATATGACATAAAAGGACTGATGTGATGTGGTTCTAGTCCACATGTGGATATTGCACAAATTGTAGCCAAACCAGGCTGGCAGAATGAGAAGGATTACAATACCAAATACAATTACATAAGACATCCGCCACAATGCGGACTTTTGCCCTGAAAGTTATGACATAGATAGAATTTTAAAATGGTACAAGGCATAAGTTTTTTTTGTTTTTTAAATCTATTTTCCAAAGATCCTTATTATAATTATAAGTCTTATACTTTCAAGAATTTTGTGATATTTATTTAAAATAATTCACAATGGATGTTGGTTGAATGTGTTGGTATAATGTTCACCATTTACCTGTCTTACCAAGGACAGGTACCACTAAGAAAAATTAGCATTAACTCAGCAGAACACTGATACAATAGTTACATAAGTTACATCCAACGACCCATGAGTCAAATGAAATTCATGAAAACTTTAATTACTACTATTGGAAATTCCAACATGACCTGAATTACAAACGACCAGAGGAAGAGCTACAGATGGCAGAAAGTGTCAAATAATGCTTATGTCCTGTTTGATGCTAAACATTTTGATTCCCAAGACCATTGTCATTCATATGATTAAGAGTAATTTCTAAGCAGTAGCTAGGCTAAGCTGAAAGAATTCAAGCTGTAGTCCGTTTTTCAAACAAGTAATCAGCATATTAAAATTTTAACATCTGTGGCTCATTGGAGGTGTATTGTTTTATTGTATACTGCAATACAATTTTGTTCAGAATGCTCATCAGAGGACTAAATAAAACTTGAGGCAGAACAATAATAGTGAGAGAATCACTTATATGTCTGTGTTATTTTAACTTCCATTGATACAATATTACATCCTTATAAATCTGTCTTTAAATTGTGTTTCTTTTCCAGCAACACAAGCTTAAACCCAAACCCACAGACAGACAGTAGAATTGCAAATACCTTTTCAACATTCAAGGTACAGTAGACAACATTCCTGCACCATCAAGAAAGTATTTGAAGTCATTTTACAGTGTAGCCCTCTTCACATATTGAGAGTTCAAGTGTGGACTCTTGCACTTGCTATCTTTGCAAAGCCTCTTGATTTACAGTCTTAAATACAAAGAATAAATTGCTGAAATATTTTGGCAGACAGCCCCTATTAAAGCCCTGAGGAAGGTAAACATGCAGTAATAGAACAGTGCAGTTCATTTAGTTCTAGTGAACAGGTACAGTCAAACTCACCCCAAACCATGTGAATATTGAACCTAGATATTGAATAATAAGCAAGTAACAAAATAATATTGGAACAACCTATATTATAAGTCTTAACAATATGGCAGGGACAAGGGAAATACTAAATTTCAAATGAGCAAAAACAAACAAGCAAATGAACAAACAAACAAACAAAAAATAACAATTGTAATTCAGCTATATAAGGCAGGATTCCATTATATTATCTACAAGATATTAATGGAGCAACGATATCAGTTATTCAGTCGTAATGTAATGAATTCAAGCATCAGCAACTAGATTGTTTTATCTATCACATTGCTTTAAACAAACAGTTTTGAGAACTGTAACTCACTGATGAAATCACATAGATCAAAACAGAGAAGAAACTGGTAATCTAAAATAATGAACTTTGATTCTTAAAAAAAATACACTCAAATAAGTCAAATCAAATATCAAACCACAATAAAAAAAACACAGCTGTAAGTATCTCCTCTTCTTCTGTAACAAGGAGCTCAGATAACATAAAGTAAAATTTGTTCTTAAGGAGATACACTCATTCTTTACCCTTTCCCTGAACTGGTGAATTTAATTAATAGTTATGTGGTAAGCTCGAAACATGAAATGAAAGTTAGTGATGTATATCCTACTTGCCATATCTCTCAAACTAACGGTCTTAGGGGGAAAATAATCAAATTTTCGGATCAACCACACGAATTTGAGAGTGAGGGTATTGACATTACGCCTGCATGGCAATGAAACGGTCATGGACAGGTGTCATGAGAAAAGACCGCGATGAACCCCCATACTTAGTGCAAGGAACAGTGACGCCAAATCTCACTTTCCAATCAATAATGATTTTGGTTTGAACTGCCTATGCACAACAAACGGTGTACACATCTATCTTAAATCACCATTAGAGTCGCAAGAAACACCTAACCCATTCATTGACTAAGCTCTGAGTTTTCACATTTAATAGCATTTCACAAATATAACAATCCCGTGCATGCACATTGCTTGTTCACTCAATAGATCTAGCCGAAAGGACTTAGAATGAAAACATACCTATTATAGTAAAGTGTTCTCAAAATTTCGCTTACACAACTGTAAAAAACCTCTAATATAAAATATGTCATGTGTGTACCTTTCATACTCTTTGAGATCACTAGATGTATCTAAATTAATCCACACCAAGGACAATTCTCGTTCTTTATACAGTACAGTATATGAAAGGGATGTAGGTAAAGAATGAGTAGAAATAGCAGCTTGAAAAAATTGGGAAAGAGGGGGAGGAGGACAAATTACAAGGTAGTTTGAAAAAAAGCAAAACAAAATAGGATGTAACATAATTGAACAGTTCTGTTTTGTTTCTTAACATTACTTTCTTTAGAAGGCTAAGTCAAAGCATAAAAAATCTGGTATAAAACATACCCGACACAAAGCAACACTGCATACAGTTCGTTAGAAGAAAAGGCAGGAAAGCTTTAAGATCAAATAATTAACCAGAAAGATAAAGCTACTGACCACTAGGAATATTTTCCATTCCAAAACTTAATTTTGTTTAGGTACAAAACAAGGTTTTCTTTTACACCCAGAAAAACGAATGTGATTCTTGTATAAGTAACATGAAACTAGCATGGTTGATTAGTGGATTACTCTCAGACCATATGACTCACATGAAAAATTCTTCTCTAGATACTGACTGTAGTAGTCATGTTCTTGGCACCATTTGCTGATCCAGAATAGAAATTTCAATCTGAAGATAATATTAAGGACATTTCAGTGATCTATGTTAGGAAAAGAAAAGACATTCTGGAAATTCATTAGTAAAAGGTATAAATTTTAATGTGATAGCAACAAAGGAAAAAATACATCTGTGCAACCAATAGATTAATAAAGGATACAACTCTTAGTCCTCTGTCAACAGGATTTGTGAGAAGAAGACCTCTTGGCTGATAAACTCTCTCATTCTGCTCAATAACAAATTTGGCAATCTTTCTTAAACACTGAAAGAAATATCAAGAAGTGAGCTATGCGGAACAAAGGTAGAATCTTCAATAATATTTAAGACATACCTTTTCAAAATGTGTTTGAACACATATGTACATAAGGTAGGCAGTAAGGCAAGCTAAACAACCTTCACAGTAAGTGCTGCATGATGCTTCTTCCGCTTCTTGGAAATATGCATTCATCTGATTTACGGTATACTCAAATGCTTGCCTCTCAATCTGGAAAAAAAAAGGATAATAATGATAAGTTGGTGTTAAATCATTTTGATCAAGTTAAATTAAATTATTCTTACCTTATCTTCAAGTTCAGGTGGAAATCGAGTCTGAAACTTGATCATGGTGCCATCACTGTAATCTCGCTGGACAAATACTTTCACACACTGATTGGCCTGGTTAGGGTCTGGCACTTCATTCAAGGGACTTGAGTGATTCATTCTGAAAACAGAAATACCAAAAAACAAAGACCAAGGAGTGTGAAATCAATAGGAAATGTAATGTAATTTACCTAAAACAATTCAAATATTTTTCGGGACAATAGTAATGTCAAAGGTTTTTTTTGAACAGTAACAAGAACAAGGTTTTAGACGCAAATGTATGTATTCAAACTATGTGCAACACATAACCAAATCAAGGTACACAATGCAATGTTTATAATAGCATACACTTAGTTGCTATACAAAGAAAGTCACTGCTTCATTACAAAATTTATCAGAATATTTGACAGTCTACTAGAAATTTAGGTTCTTACAAAATTTTGGGGACTAAGCAATAGGTAATGGTACAAACTTTTAACACTCACATTAAGGAAAGTGTGAGCAAAACACGATGAGAACGCTCTCCAACTTTCAGATCATTCAAGCAGCACCGAAATTTTATGAGAGCGAAAATCTTCAATAAAATAAATTGTGGAGTTGGGTTAGTTTTTGTAATTAAATACACTTAAAGTAACTCCGAAAGAAGAACCTCAGTGCTAGTGCTATGCTGACGGCCGACTGACGGGGACAGGGGACCAGGGGACGGAGAGAGGGAGGGGGGGGGAGGGGAGCTGTTACTTCCAACTTCCTATTCGCAGGGAGAAAGAGCGGTAAACTTGAATGGTTTGGGTTTGAACTCTTTTAGTGGAACAGCAGTGCAATAAATATGTCGCAGTTCTACCTCCCTATTTTCATTTTTTTTTTTTGTGTTATCTCGAAACATTTTCATAAGAGGCAAAAATAACCACAGCGCAATATAAACATTTTTTTGGTTTATTGTGCATAATTGTTTTACAGACAGGCACAGAACAAAGTATTTATGCTAGTATTTAATACAATTTGACTAGAATGGGACTAGGTAAGATGAGCCAACTTTCTATTTGTTACTCAATGCGCGCATTATAATTAATGATCTAACACCGGTTTGCACACTAGCATAAAGTATTTTCGGTTATAGATTGCTAGAAATCATATAACCAGTGACATAAAATGACATGACATGGAATGACATGAATTGATAATGTCAAAGTCAAGATGCTTTAATTTTAATGAATACCCCTTTGAACTGCCTATGCACAACAAACGGTGTACACATCTATCTTAAATCACCATTAGAGTCGCAAGAAACACCTAACCCATTCATTGACTAAGCTC